CTCTGGCATTTCTTCATTTTGTATTCTCATTCTTCTTTGCGGAATTTGACAGTTGGAGTATCGACGGTAATATTCCTTCTTCCCTTTGTAATTTATTCTACACGAAGACTAAGCGGATCGATATTCGGTTGATCGCATAACGCAATGCGGTTTCCGTTTCCAACGTTATATGAAGATTCGTTATTTCTTTGTGATAATTAAAATAGATTCTTCTATAGAGAAAAAAAAAGGGACAAAGTGAAGTAGTTCGCACAAAATGCAAGGTTGACGCAGAAACTGAAAATCAGTATGTTTTCTTTGTTCTTTCGAAAAGAACAGAATGCTTATTTAATTTTTGATGTAATTATATTTGTAATATGTATCATTTGAATTATTTAGGATTATTTTAATTCATATATTTGAAGTCAGATATGAAGATTAAAGCGTATTGAATTTTGAAAATGGAAAAAGTCCGATAATTTTATTTTCATGTAATTTAGATTTTTTTGAATCAGATTATTGTTATACAAATCACATTGTAGATTCACAAGTTTATTGTATTTCGAGAGATATTTTTATTGCTTAATTCTTTCAAAAGTCTTCTTATCTAATGTTCTCAAGTGGCTGATATTTTATGATTATGAAGTTACACCAGTTTCTTCGTATTCAATAACAAAATCTATTTACAAATTTAGCAATCGATCTTGATAGAAATCAATAATAAATTTAGTTCATCTCTTAAGTATTTCAAATTATTCAAATATATTTACTATCACGTTTAAGTTGGTTACGCAGAATTTATATTTATCAAGTGCTTCTCTCTTAAATCCTCCTCAAACTCGAGTAATCATCAATCGGTAACTACATTATCTTTGGTAAGAAAAAAACATCCTAACAATAGCATTAGAATCATGCAAACAGGTTTAAATTCTTCTCGGGAAAGCTCAAACGCACACTCGGAATATCTTACGTAGACTATATCAGAATTTTAGAAAATTGTTTAAAAATTATCTCAGTCGATACACTGACCAATCTCTCTTACATTGTGTTGGAATTCAGGAAGGGGTTTCTATAGAAGAAAGAAAGAGAGAAAAAGAGAGATTGTGAGACTGGTGACCCGGGTGCAATGTCGTATCACCGTGGGGGCCAGGCGGGCGCCGTAGCAGTTTCGTACAGCACCAGTCCAATGGCACCGCATTCTCCTAGCAGACGATGTTCCAGCAATAACAGCGGCAACAACAGTTCCGCTATTGGCACCTCCACCTCGAAGCTGAACACCTACAGATCTACTGCTTCCTCGTCGATCTTAGATCGACCAACAAATTTCTACTCGACATCGTCGTCGACGTCATCGTCGTCGGGCAGCTCGGGCTTTCGTTCGAACTATACGACCGAGTACAGGCGATCCTACTGCCCATCAGGCAGGTGAGTTTCTTATCCTCTTTCGACAAATTCTTTCTCCTCCATGTGTGTTCCCCCTGTTCAGGATTCTGTTAATGGATTCCAGGGATCGGCAATCACGTGCAGTTTGGTTGGAATTTAGGAACAAAGATGTCTAACCCTTTGTTGACTATTAATTTTAAATAATTATATACGCTTCAAAATATTTTCTGATGTTTTATTACTATCTGATTTATTGGTTGAAAGTATATTAATTGTACTTGTTCTATGAAATGTTTAAGATATGTGCGCAAAGGGTTGGTTCTTTCGGTGAATATGTGGAATATTGATACTGAAAAGATGAAAATTGAAAGAAGTCTAATAAAGAGGAAAGTTAGTCAAAGAAGAAGACATTTTATTACCGTCGATACTCCGTTCATGGATGAATGTACTTCCCTCAATTATTCTTCTTCTCAATTATTTTGTCTCTTTGGATCATTAAGATTGTTTTCTTTATTACTTGAATGATCTTTAAAAAGCGATTGATTGACACCAAAGGCATTATTTACATTTGATATCGCATAAAAATTAAAATTAAATTCATAATTACCAGCGTGCTGCCGATCCTGAATTTCCTGACAATATAAATAGAGATAAAAGAATTGTTAATTAAATGGTTGATACTCGATCGGCCCTACAGTTTCTACTCATCGACGGGTACGAGCATCCGAAGGAGTTACTTATCGGAATACAACCGGTCTCGCTGCTCACCCACAAGGTGAGCAATCCCCATAAACAGGGGTATAAGGCAGTCGGGGTCAGTAGCTACAAGATCAAGGCCTCGATAAGTTTTTATCGATTTTATGCATATTTCCTTGATTTCTCCCATTTCCAGTTATAATTTGATTAAATAATTATCTCTCTCTGGTTTAACGCTCTGCCGATTTGCTTTTTTTGAGATTTATTTTTGTGCTAGTATCGTAATATAACGAGAATGATTCTAAATTAAGGAATCAAATAATAATAATAACAGCATATGTAATTTTGTATAAGTTTTCTTTCTTTCGTATATTTTAAATTTTACAATATATATTGAACTAAGGATAAATTATACCTGTAACTTTAATTAAGGCTTTGGATTCTTACTTTCTCTAAGTTTTTATTAACTTACTTTCTGAAACATTGAAATACATATATACATAATTTTTATTTATTTTTCTATTATTTATTTTCAATATTGCACGATCAATAATATAAATGCTTAAATGAACAATTGAAAATATTGAATGAAATTTAAAAATTTTCTTCAAATTTTTGTGCAGTTGCTCATATAGAATGTGCAATCTTATAACCTTGCTATATCATAAAGATTCTATTTTTATATAACATATTAATATATCTATATAAAATAATGCAAAAGTAACATAAATTGTTTCTTTTTATTTAGATTTCTAAAAAAAAAATGCCGTGTAGATATGTATTTAAGTTAAAATTTTAAATTGATCTGCTTTATTTCTGTATCATCACTTTTTGTATATATTTGTTATATTTTAACTAAAATTAAATGCAAATATTATTTATATCCTTGATGCTTGATGCATGACTAATAGCCACATTTAGAATGAAAATTTTCAAATATTAGGAAAAAAAAAATATCTGGTAACAATTGCTGAGAGTGCTAATTATATTGTGCTATCGGCAGAGCGTTTAAAGCAACATCAATTCTTGTTGCTCAAAGAGTATGTAATTATTTCGAGACGATAAAATTCCCTCGATCTTCTCTTCCTTTCTATCTACTTTCGTGTCAATTATGTTTTTCTATTGCGTAGAATATGACTAGAAACTTTGTATTAAAATAGTTATGGGATGCATATTGTAAACATATCATATATATAGTGGGCAACAGGTATTCCGACAACACCTTTTTACAATGCGTCAATTACTTTTGTCCGTGTCACAATGATCCAATTAGGGAGGTGCGGCACATAAGTCCCTATTTCTATGGTATGGTCGAGCTGACGGCAAAGGTCGAGGTCGATGGTAAATAGGTACAAACTTGCATTGGCAGTCTCAGAAACTAGTTATATATAATTCCACGGGAAATCTTGTCTGTCCACTTGCCCCTGATGCAAGATGATATGTATTTTGTTATGTCCTTTGAACTAAAAATTTATCCCTTTTTTAAATGTAATATTAAATATAATAATTAGAGTTTTCAGATTTGTTAATCACATTGTAACTAAAAAACACATAAAATTCGAATTACAATAATTATTTATTATCCTTTATTTTTTGGATTGATTTTTGACACGCGATTATAAAATTTTTAAAATTGGATATAGTTTTTTTTTTCTAATTTCTATTTTCAAAGTTTTATCTATGCTAATACATAATATCACGAAATTGTTTGATGGAATATAATATAATATCTGGTCATCTCGTAAATACATTGGAAATTCATATAAATCGTTATTAAATGTTATTATTGTATTATTATTATTAATTATTAAGCATAAGAAATTAGTGCAACAAAATAGAAAAAAAATCTATTATAGATAAATATTGTAACATACTTGTAAAAAATTTTCAAACTAATCGATATTTGACTAATATAAAAATGTCTAAAAATTAGTCCAATCCCCATGACATAAAACAAGGAAATAAACAATCACGTGAATATAAATACACATTGGACAGGTTGATCGCGATTGACACGATGGAAGCGTGGTGAAAGACCTTGACCTCGCTTCGAATTGTCTTCTAGTACAACGTGTGGCGAGACAAAGAGAAAAAAACATTTACTTTCTCTTCGACATCTCGTCTCATTTTACCGCAATAAGATATCTAGCGCACGTGTTGGCGCGCGCGAAAGATGCGTGTATATTTTAAATATCTAGTGCGTGTTCCCGACACTATTTCCAAATCCACGAACGGTGCCACGGTATCTGATTTAGTAACCTCCAAACCTCAAAGAAGATCTGGTCAGCATGTAGGCCAGCGACATCGACCTATCCGTTCATATATCGATTTTTTTTTTCCCTCTATTCCATCGAGAGAATTATTTTTGTACTCATAGATCGTTTTATATTTTTTTTAATCTTCCTATTCTTGAGATTTGAACAGTTCTTTGTTGAAACAGTTTTGCATCCTTCTGTTAATATTTGTATGAATAACGAGGATTATTTGATTTTAGAAGAAGAGTATATATTGTAGAAACATACTCTAGTCGTAGAGATATTAAAGATATTTTCGTAATTGAAAAAGAAATTCGTGTTAATAATTAATAAAATTTGCTTCTTAATTTATTTCATTATTAATTATTACTAACGCACACATACAAAGAAATTGCTTATTCATTTAGTGTGATTTGTGGGTGCGTGTGTTTATGAACGTGTTTCCCGTTGTTGGCCGGTGATTACGTAATTCGAAGAAAGAGAGGGTAGTCCTTGGCCGCGGGCCCAGCCAAATGAAAAGGATGTTCGCAATATTCACATTGACTGAACGTTTGCAGGTCAGTTTCGTCGTCGGCATACAGCAGTACGGGTAGCGGTAGTGGTACAGCTACGAATGTGACGACAAACGGAACCAGCGGCACTAGATTCGGCTTGTCTACATCGTCGTCCTCATCGAGCATCTCTGCCGGCAGTTCGTCCAGAGATAGAGGGATCCCAGAATCCTCGTCTAGACTAGAAATAACGGCGGATTTGATCAGGTATTCGCCATCTGGTTATATACCGAATATCCGTCAAACGAGCAGCACCACTGGCAGCACTAGTGGAATCCATCATCATCATCACCATCATCATCAGTGGAAGCATCATTCGACCGGTTCGTCGTTGACGGAGTTGTTCGGTGGTGACGATCGTGATATAGCCGTCGAACGTACCGGCAGAGATCATCGTCCGGAGTCGTCGCTCTCCTCGTCCTCCTCGTCATCTTCCTGCGCCGTTGGTGGTGCACTCTGGTCCAGGTCGAAGAGAAGGCCACTGTCCAGCAGCACGGTGCTCAACAGCGGGCATGCACGCGCGGACAGTGCCGCGTCGCCTGGCGAGGTAACGATTAACGAGCGCGGCACGATCCGCGATCTAGACGAGGACGACGACGATGACGATGACAACAACGATGACGAGGACGATAATAACACCGACGACGATCAACACAACAACAACGGCAATAATGGGAATAACAGCAGTGGTGCTGAGGACACTTGTGATTCCGGTCGATATGGGCTAAACAATAACAACCGCGACCGAGACAACCACGACCACGACCGCGACCACGACCGCGACAGCGATGACAAGGACGATGACGACGAGGACGACGAAGACAACAAGCTGAACAACCGGCATCATCGCCAACAACAGCAGCAGCAACGCGGTGCTGCCCATCGGATCGACGAGGTTTCACCAGCTAAGCGTAACCTCTTGTCGTCTATTCCCGGTGGCGGTGCTGGCGGTGCT